ATAAAAGCACAAAAGTATGTAGTATCATGTGACTTGTCTGATGCAGCAACAGACTTAACAAAAAAAGTACTTGTTGGGCAGTTAAACAAAAAATTAATGAATTCCCTTGACTCCCCATGGGATCAACCATCACACATAATAGTGCCCCCATATTTCTCCCATCCTTCTGTCTGAGAAATCAAATTTTATTCACATCAAATATAACGTCCTTCAACAAGGTCTCCCTAACCTCATGTAGTGAAGGAGGAACAAGTCATGGGCCCTATTGTCCAATTTTCTAGACCATACATGCAAAATTATCCAGAGTTAGTATTAAAAGGAATGCTGGCCATGTAAATCCACTTATGTACCGACTTCCTCTGTTATTTCTTATATCTATTTTCAATTGTGGTTTTTTTAGTTTTTTTCTTTCCTGAACCATAATTTCAAGGCTAAGGGGGGGAAAAACATCCATTGGCCCCTTAGAGAGAGGTGTTCTTCTATCAACACTACCACCAATATTTATAACCCTCTCTCTTAAGGTTGGAGTATGAGTACCCATTTACCTCAAAGCAACTTCAGACATATCATCATCATCAAGAACATCATCATCAAATAATTGCATATCATCAAGTAATTCTTTTATTTTCATTTTTCTCTTCTCTTTATCTTTTTCAATCAATCCAAATATTCTTTAATCTCATTTTTTATATCATCTGTAGCTTGTGAGCATACTCTTACATTCCCAGAAATTCTTGCTAAATTGTCTTTTTGTCAAAAAATACCACCCATATAAGTATGAGAAAAGTTTATATAGAGTCGAGGCTCTAAACAATCAAATTCGAGCCTACCTCAAAAATTTCACTAGAAGAGGTTGTTTTGATGCCCAGATATCCTCAAATTGATCATCTCGACATCAAGATGCATGGACATGAGAAAAAAATGGATTTCAACTTTTGAAAATAGTGTATTTTGTAACACATATTTTGACCGTCAATTTTCAAGATTTTCAGGTTTTTATAGATCTCTCAATCTATACTATTTTTTAAGTTTTAAACTTTATAAATAAATATGATAATATATTTTAAGGCTGTCAAAAATATTTCCAGTATTAAAACCACATTTCTCAACACTATTTAAAGGTAGACTCTAATTTGATTGTTTAGAGCCTAGGCTATATACAAATCGCACCCTATAAGTATTTCCACACAGCAAGCATATCACACAATTTCTATCGTTTGGATTTTTTAGTTAACATATTTTCCAGCCGGATCCTTATTACTAGAACCTTGGGAAGAAGACATTGCCCCAAAAATAGGTATAACAGTATTATTGTACAAGAAGGAATAAAAATTTACCGACTCTGTGAAGCAATGCTTGATTTCTTCACGGCCTCTGAAACCCTCGATTTCTTATCACAAATTTATCGTAACGTCCGCAAATCAACAATCAAAGGCATCCAATGAACATCCAAGTATCAAACAACAGCCAAATCGAAGATTTTAGTGAAACGAAAATTTTCACCTAAATTTTTTTTCCCCTCTATTTGATACAGAAAAAGCCACAAAAGTGTCTGAAAATCTTCATTTAGGGCCCCTAATACCCCCCTTACCCCCCCCCCCCCCCCCCAAACCAATAGTTTCCCTAACATTTTGATGGTAAAATAGACCATTTTGCCCACTGTAGCAGTGGGATACGGTGTTATGCGGGATGCGGATACGATGCGGCGCATATGCAGTCGCATATGTCAAAAGCACATATGTGTTTGTTTCTGATGCGGATGCGAGCTCATTCCGCATGATGCAGGAGCATTTTAAAACCATGTGTGTAAGGTACTATGCAATGGGGTTATCCATTGGTAGTGTAATTAGATATGGTAAGAAAGCGGTATGACGCACTACGCCATGGGCCATCTGTTGGCAGTGTGTGATGATATGATAAGAATGTGATATGAGGCACTATGCAATAGGTCACCCATTAGTTGTGTAATGTAACATGATAAGAAAGTTCGGCCGGCAGTTGAAATCTTTCCTTGACTCCAGATGATAGGGAGTTAGGATGTGAGTCACATGGGAAGGTCGTGCCCCCCAATATGTGTATAGGGCACTACGCAATGGGTTATCCATTGGTGGTGTAAGCTAGAGAACAAATGAGGGTTGTGTCTTGCAAGGCCACCGCTTATGAAAAGCCCCAAAGCACGTTGGGGACTGTGTATGTGTGTGTGAAGACATTATAAAATGGGTCATCCATTTGTCATTGTTTTTCCTCATGAGTGAATGTAGAAGTCCTAAGCAATAGGATTGGCTTAGCCTGATGGATAGGGCTTCTACTTCGGGAGTAAGAGAAACTAGGGAGTGAGTTAGTTAATAATTGTTGATAATTGCCTAAATCCGTCAATATGTTAAGACTTGTATGATTGAATGACTATATAGACCTATATTTCGTATCATACATGATTGATCTGATTTGTCATTGCTTTACTATGAATTATGCACTACACACTAGTAGAGATGATTTTGACACATTTTATAAGAATTGTATAACACCCTGAGTATTGTTATGAGAGAATGTTCATAAGCAAGAAGACTTGGCAACTTGATCTATTTACTGAGCTTTACAGCTCACTCTTTTATCTTCATCTATATAGAGCGATAGCCACGGGTGAAGGATGGGCGGTTTGGTGATTGCAGCTGGCGGTTGGAGCTTCGTGCTTTTGTGAAAGTCTTTTATCTACAATTGTATGTTTTGGATGGCAGTGGCCATATAGTTCTTGTCTATTTTTGAAGTCATGTAAATGGTTTTGGGCCTTTGAAGCTTTGGACATGTTTGTAATACCTTTGGATCTCTTTTATATATATTTATACCATCCGGAGCTTAGTTGTCAGTTTTTATTTGCTGTTGTATGTTTGAATTTTTCTTTTCTTTCGTGGTCTACTTTGATTCATTCTTCTTAAAGCATTGAGTACACTCCCACCTGAGTGGCATTCGCTACCTCTGGTCGCGCCCCCGTACCCTGTTGCCCTCCGGCTAGTAAGGTAAGACGGTGGGGGGGGGGGCGGGGGTCGTGACAGAGGGTAGAGAGAGAAAGAGAGATAGAGAGAGTGAGTGAGGGAGGGTAGAGAGAGAAAGATAGAGAGAGAAACAGTGAGGGAGGGTAGAGATAAAGAATGAGAGAGTAGAGAGAAAGAGTGGGCAAGGTTAGAGAGAGAAAGAGAGATAGAGAGAGAAACAGGTGGAGAGAAAAAGAGAGAATGGGTGGGAGAGAGTTTTTGGTAACTAGAGAGAGAGTTTTAGAGAGAAATATAAAAAATATGTTGAAAGGGGAAGAAAGAGTAAAAAAATGGCATTTTGGTTTCAAAATGCTTTGACTATTTGACTGGGGGGTAAATACATAAAAAAATAGTGTTGGGGTTTAAGGCATTATCGAAAAAATATTAAGGGATTAGGATGTGTAGAAAGTTGAAATTGAGGGGAGTATCTATAATTTTCCCAAAAAACAAATATCAAAACACATATTGATAGCATTGCAACATTAGATAATTAACTGATACCGTGGACTATTACCATGACTGCTAATCTTCTTCTAACCTGGAGCTCTACAGGTGAAACTACACACAGTGACACACATTCATTCACACTCTAGACCTTCACACATACGTACTTGCACTCATAGGTACATTCATACATATTTTGCTTTGATTTAGCATATCTAGACTTACATTAGCCATTTTTATCTTATTCTGATAGGAGCATCTACAATATATGTATTTTTTAGTGTTTCCACTCTATTCTTATTGTAGTATCGGTACCAGAAACTAAAGGTAGAACTTTGGAGGAGATTCAGTTGTCTTACAGATGAGCCTACTTTGGTCAATCCTTTGATATGAAAATGTGTGATCATCTTATGCTGAGAATTGGACTCTGAAGCATTTGGGGTGTATGTAAATAGCCGATGGCTTGGCCCTTGCTCAATCCTTGCTTTAAGCAAATACTTTTTCTTGTAAATTTCTTGAGACCAAGGAGAGAAGTCTATGTGCCCCATTTGAACGTTTGGCATTCAAATCGCCTCCTTTTCCAGCCGTGTTTCAATGGTATTTAGAACTTTGTTGATGAGCTTCACATCGAATTAATGCTTATGAAATGACTACATTATTGATCCTATCGTGTAAGCGCGCATGTATCAATGCTATTCATAATAATCACCATCCAAGCTTTATCCCAGCTATTTGGAATACCTATTCTTTTATTCTGTTCTATTAAAAGACATTCTCTTAGTTTGACCATAAATCACCGTACTTAGTTTTACTACTGCTGTTCATATCTTTTTAAGACTTCTCCTTGCACTTTATCACACCTCTTAACTCATGAGTAGTCCACCTAATTATACTTTCCCTCATCTTATCACCTGTTAAAGCTACTCCTACTTTCCCTCATAGTCAACCATCTCAATATTATTCATGTTTGATATATCCAGAGTTTTGGAATGGTCTTGCTAACATGCGTCTTTTTTTCCTAAGATGAACCAATATTTGTTTGCGCGAAGAATTTTGGGGGCATATTGCATGGGAAACCTCCTCCATATGAAGACTCTGAAAATCCTGCTCCATACTGTCCCATCTTTTTGAAAATAGTGGTTAATCATAATGAATATTGATTCAAAGTTTAAGCTTAGTTTAAGGGGAACTCTGGAGGTGGAGATCAGTCCCTTTCATAGTTTGACTCGAGAAGGATGAGATACTCTGATTGTTCGGAGTTCGTTTATTTCACCAAATATCTCTCGACACAAGGGAGATTTCTGCAAAACCGTTTGCCTACCTAGCAAGCATGAAGCCACCTTTCCTCTATGATGCCGTGAACAATTCACAATTCCTAGGTGTGTTTTTGTCCGGGAAGGGGGGAGATCCATATAATCCTAGAACAGATTTTAGTCCCGACCAATAATCATTTGGATCGACGAGATTAGAAATCGTTGGGTTTTAAAACACTAAATCAGACATGGGAAATTGACTGGGTGAGACACATTTCCCTATAACCATGTCTTCATAAATTGAAATGTTTACTCCTCCATCAGATTACAATAAGAAACAGATATGCAGATTTCAGTAAGACCAATTACTAAGAAGCACACAGAAATATTGTTTCATGACATGTACAGTTGGATTGTGAACTAGTGTTGGTGATGATGGTCATTGTTTTGTGGAAAAGAGGTATCAAGGAACCTATTAAGAAGCCTGTTATAGACACAGGGCCTCTCCAAGTGGACGAGGTGACCTGCCTTCTTAATGCCTTCAAATGTCGCCTTCTTCCCCAATTCCCTGATTTCACACCAAAAAAAAGCTTAGCTTCAACGGATGTTAGAGAAACAGAGAAGAATGAGGTCTTTATTCTTATGTTTTGAATGGGTACTCACTCTCTCATGTTCTTGGCCACTTCCAAGTTGAAAATTTGGTCCTTCTCGCCCCATAACAAGTGTATCTTCTGCAAGAAAACCAGAGAGAAAGGAATATGGATGAATCTTTACAAATTCTACGAGACAAAACAGAGGATCGCACAACGATAGAGAGAGAGAGAGAGATCTTTTCTGATTTTACCTGATATATGGGAAGATAGAGAGGGAGAGACAGAGAGAGAGATGTGTTCCGATTTTACGAAATAAATGGGAGAAAGTAAGTACAACCCACCTGGGTGAAATTGGGTATGGTGGTATCCTTGTTGCTCTCAATAAGAGCATCCAGGAGCTCAGCCCTTTGTTCTCTGTTGGTGAACATGACCTGTTCTCGCCACAAAAGAGCAGGATTTCATTCAGAGAGAACAGTGAGCAAAAGGCATCCAGAGAAAGAAATGGGGGACAAACAAACCAATCTGATGAGATAAAAGGGGACAAATAAGGTGTCTGGTGAGTGAAAAAAGTGAAAGTAAGCTTGTTGCAGGAGAATTGCAACAAACAAGCAGGCTAGTGAGAAAACATTCTGATTCTTGTGTGTGCGCGTGTGAGTGTGCGTGTGCGTGTGCGTGTGCGTGCCTTTGAGATGGAGAGAGACCTTAAGATAGTCCCTGTAAAGGCAATTAGGAAACCACAAGTTCTTATGAGTAGCCACTGATAACAAGGCCTTGAGCCCCTTCACATTAGTAGGAAGCAACAGCTCCGTGGATGAGGAGAACCCCAACCTGGCCATCGTCTCACCACTAATGGTATCAGTCATCGCCAAAATTGAACCCGAAATCACCAAATGCGAAACCATTTCAGGATAAAGCTCCGCCATCTTAAAAGCCACCATTCCTCCGTAGCTGAACCCAACAAGCGCGCATTTCTGAGCCCCAAGCTTGTTCAATGCCTTGGCCAAACAATGAGCTTGAAAAGAAGGCGAGCGATCGGAGCTTGAAGTTACTGAGCCACCAAAGAAGAGGAGGTCAGGGACATAAACTGAGAATTTTTTAGTGAGAGAACCAACTTGGAATTGCCATGTTACTATCCCTTCGGCCGCAAAACCATGGATGAGAACTACGTTCCCTTTGTGCTTGTTGTTCTTCTTGCTTTTGGGGGATGGAACCCAGAAGTTCATGGCGGTGCCTTCTTCTATTTCTACATTTTGTGGGGTAAGCCCGGCGAGCTTCATCAGTCCATGTAGGAGTGGTTTTTGGGCTGCTACCAAGTTCACCATCTTTCTCTCTCTACTTGCCCTGTTCTGTGCTCTCTCTCTCTTGTGATCTGTGTAGTTATTCTTCTCTCAGGAGCAGCAATTTGAGGCCTAATTTAAGTAGGAGAAGGGGGGATTCAGGGAGAGTTGGTGGTGGGTTTTTAATGGTATTCGATCGTGGGTCTCCTTGGTTTCTTCATTCGTCACTTAATGTCAGGTTCACGGTGTTATTGTTGAGAGAGAGAGAGAGAGAGAGAGAGAGAGAGATGGGTGTCTGATCACCCACGCTGCCCACTTCCTAACTGATCCCAAAACTTGGTCCACTTGGGTTCTCTCTTATGAATTTTCTTGGCGTGGTTACTTTTTATATGTGATAATTAAATTGACTTTTATGAGGCAATCAAATCGGTTGTGGTTGCATCGTTGGTGGCCATTTATGACGCAATCAAATCGGTTGCTGTTGCAACGTTGGTGGCCAACCACTCAGCTAATCGAGGCTCCTATTTTTCGTACGGTGCTTTCTCATTGCTTTGAAAAGACCTAAGAGTCGGGGTGTCATTGGGCTATGTGTCCCTGCCCGGACCTAAAAAACGAGGGCTTGGCCCAACTTTTTTTTTTTTTTGTATTGCTTTTTTTAGTTTCTTAACGGGGCTCGACCTAGCTTAGTCCTGTTAGGGTTAGGGCCGGGTTTGGGCCATCCCTAATGAAAATAGGGTCGAGCTAGGGATAGGGCAAGTTTGGCCCAAGGGGGACCCGTTACTAGCCGTAACTAAAAGCATGAGATTTTTTGAGGTGAAGATTAAGAAAGGGAATGGATATTATATAGAGAAAATTATAAAACGCCCCCCTCAAGTATATTATCTACGAAACTTATACCCCAATTAATTTTTTCTCTCACTTTTTTTCTCACAACCAACTTTTCTCGCAAAACCCCCCAAGGGTAAAAAGCTGTTATTTTTTTTATGGAAATGCCTTTCTTTATAAAAAAAAAATTCAATTGAAGGTAACATTCCCTACAAAAAAAAAAAAAGTCAATTGACGGTCCCAAGTAGCGTATTGTCAAGTCAATTGACGGTCCCAAGTAGCGTATTGCCGAAGCGACCAAGTCAACCGCAGAAGCGATGTGACTCCAAAAAGTGTATGCCAGAGCTCGTATTTGTACTGCTGGAACGCTTGTCTTTATTGCCGGAGAGACCTATTCAACTACCAGAGCGATATGGCACCAGAAGGTGTACTACCGGAGCACGTCTTTGTACTGCTGGAGCGTGTGTCCTCATTACAGGAGCAACCTATTCAACCGTCGGAACGCTATGGCTCAAGAAGGTGTACTGCAGGAGAGAGTCCTTGTATTGTCGAAGTACGTGTCTTCATTACCAGAGCATTTAAATAGACTGTCGGAGCGCATGAGGAGAGAGTCGTAGGTAAAAGCCATGAGAAGAGAGAGGGAGGTAGTTTAATCTCTTTTTCTTTTGTTTTGGATTAGGAGATTTTTACGAAAAAAAATGGTAATTGAAAAATAAGTGCGAGGAAACGCTAGCCGAGCGGTAAGTTACAAAAATAGTATCTTTGGGGGGTTTTTATAATTTTCCCAACTACGTAACGAGTGCTTATAAAGCCGGCTCAGTCAGCAGTATTGGACACCCGCCAGTCCCAATTGGCTCGGCAAACAAGACGACTTTAATTGATTGTTCGAAAAAAAATATTCAAAAAAATTTTAAAAATCTAATGTACTTCGTTTGTAGAAAACATTTTAATAATATGTTACATATTTAAGCACTTTCCTGAATAGGTGTGAACACCAGGATCCTCATTCCCATCTAAGTGCCACAAAGTCAAAGTCATTTATACCCAAATATGCGGTTAATCGCAATAGTGGTATATATAGAATCTAGTAAATATCAATCATCATCATATATCATCACCATCCGATCCCTATGTCCATTATTTGAGATAAGTTATTTAAATAATGTTTTATCATTGTGCCGTATCATCGACCATTATTCAAGTTATAAATCACTATATTTTTCACTGTTTCTATTTATGTCTTTTAAAACTTTTTTTTTTTGTCCTTTTACAGCTTTATGCTTGAACCGAATCACCCTTCTCAAGTAGTGTTGTTTTAGGTCGCATTGCATATAACCAGACTACCTAAATCTATCACCTATTGGAAGTCCCTTTAAATTCCCTCGAATGTCTTCTTTTTGAATTCTATCCTTATCTTGCCAGTCATCTATTTCAATATCATTACCTCAACTCTACTTATTCTATAGATATGTTGTTTTTTGACTATCCAACATTCCACTCACAACCTTCTTATAGAACTTTCCCCTTCAATTTCATTTATATGCTACAGTTACATAAGACTTTAGAAGCATATCTCTACGTCATCCACTTAGCTCTAATTCTATAACATCATCTTCTTCAACCTCTCATTTCTCATGGATTATCGAGTCACATTAATTTTGGATAATTTCTTTTAGGTACTTATTGGCTATCAATCTAAACTAATTCTTCATTTTACTTCTATTATAACTAAACTTACTTTATATATATTTTGTATTTGTCCGGCTAGTTTAATAACCTTTAGATTCTCAAACATAACTCGAAAGTTATTTGTGTTTACATTGTCTCTGGTTTTATTAATCAAAACTGTCATCCACAAATAACTACTCCACACGGACCTTATTTATATAGATGTCTAGTTAACTTGTTCATAACCAAAGCAAAGAGATTTAAGCTCAACGTTGAACCATGATGTAGGGCTACTATTGTTGAAAAATCATTTCTCTCTCTACTAGTTCTCAAAATATACAGTCTAATTGTGAATTTTGGAAAAATATATATGATTGAATGCTCAATCATAAACCAAATACCAACTATGAAAATTCAAAATAATGAGTATGGAATAAAGTTTTTAAAAAACTAATATTTTCTCCTTTCAGGAAAATATAGACCATGAACAAAGAAAATACAAAATTATCATTAATAAGGGAAAATAACAAAAAAGAATTTAACACAATGTAAAATAAAAGTAAACATAATATATAGATAAAATAAAATTTCTTAAAAATTTGAGGCACATTTTCAAAAAAATAGAGACCTTAGCACAAAAAAATCGTTTTCACTAGAAATTATAAAGAAACTCAACAAAAACTTTATCCAAATCAATCTCCATGCCATCTAGAGCAAATAAACTAACAAAATTGCTTGTCAAATTTATTTTTTTACAATTAAATAAATTTTATTAAAAATTAGCGGCAATTTTTTTGGGAGAAAAAAAGTGCCAATCATAAAGTATAAATTTCATCATAAATCTTAGAAAAACTCAGCACAAAGAAATCTAAATACTTTATAACATGATCTTGAACAAAAACTCCAAAAAAAATGCCACATAATATTTTCAAAGATTTATTATTTTCCAAAAAATAAGCCATGTTTTGGGAAAGTAGAGATCTAGCCAAAATATTAACGGAAATTTTTTTGAAGACCTTCCTAACACAACCCATAACTAACATAATATTTGTAAAAATTCTATATTTTCTAAAAATATCCTAGCCCCTTTTTTAGGGGATCAAAAAACAAAGCAAAAATATTTAAGTATCACACATCTCAATTGATTTTAAAATGATGCAAATGTTAATTGAAAAAATACCGGATTGATTTTCACCTCTTCTAGATGAAAATCCCTAGACAAACTATTGCTTGAAATTCCAATTTTCATATTTTTCTTGAAAATCCATGCACCTTTTAGGATGGACTATTTTTCAGATATTTTGTCGGGTTTTTTATAACCATCCTTTAGTCATGCTTTTGTTTTGGATAAAATCATATAGGGATTTTATGACTCCTTTTATGGGTATAACATGACTTGGTAAAAAATTAATGGCGAATGTGGTAAAATAATTTTCAAATACTAAGTATTTATTTTTTGAATATTGAATTGGACCATTTGTGCTGATTGGCCAATTAGTATATTTTTGCGAAACCACCATAGTCTTTGCAAGGTCTATGAAGTTTTTTTTTTTGTGAAATCATACCAAACCATCGTGCTATTTTCTAAATGTTGTTTGTGAAAATATACCAAGTCAAGAGTTTTTATAAAAAAGAAAAACATTGAGTTGTGAAATTATTTTATATATATGGGAGAAAGTGTCATTTATCTTTGCACCAGTTTTAAAGATCTCATGAGTCTTGACTCATGTTTTTTATAGTACCGATTGGAATCCTTGATTACCTAAGACCATGAATCATAGGGAATGTCTTAGGATGCTCATATTATTAGGCTTTCCTTTATACATTTTTTGTAGATAAGATCACTTGATTTGTATGGATTAAAATCAAAAGACTAGTATGGTTGAACCTTGGTGGTTTGAAAAATGAATACATATTGCGAGACCAATGGGCATTGAGTTATTTTGGCAAGAGACTTGTTGTACTACCTCATGGTATAGGCATAGGTATGCATATTGAGACAGTACGTGTTATATGTATTTTGTTTGAGTGGGAGCAATCCCAAGGTTATTTTATGATGCTCAGATATTCAGATATACATGTACTCTATTGTAAATTGCTTTAAGGGATCCAGATAAACATTCTAGTGGGAGCACTTATTTATGCTTAGTGGATCAGCTAAAACAACATACTATAATGTTGTCTACCATGGAACTTATTTATTTTGGCAAGAGACTTGTTGTACTACCTCATGGCATAGGCAGAGGCATGCATATTGAGACAGTACGTGTTATATGTATTTTGTTTGAGTGGGAGCAACCAAGATTATTTTACGATGCTCAGATATTCAGATATACATGTACTCTATTGTAAAATGCTTAAGGGATTCAGATAAACATTCCAGCGGGAGCACTTATTTATGCTTAGTGGACCAGCTAAAACAACATACTATAATGTTGTCTACCATGGAACTTGGATATGTAGTATTGGTTGTCTGGCTACAAAAGGAAGCATCATAATTAAAAACTTCCTTGAGTTGCAAAGATATGACCCCATGCGATGAAGGTGTGTGAAGATCTTCTGCGACAACGAGTCCATGATTCATGATGGTAATACTGAGGATATGAAAATGGACTACGACCACGTTCAAGGTGAGATGGCTCGCAGCAAAGAGAGAGGCTTCATGACTCCTACATAGGCTACATCCATGAATCCTTAGTAAAAGAATTGATGGTGAAGGAGTTCGTCTGGTTATGTAATGAACATGAGAGAAAATAAGTGAGAAATGCTTGAGAGAGAGACTGTAATGGGGAATGAGAATGTGAAGGACAGATTATAAGGCCTTCAAAGACCAAGTAGGAGATGTTGGGTT